ATTTGGGGATACAGTATATGAGTAATTTGACCCCCCTCCCCCCCCCCACAGCCCCCCCCACAGCCCCCACTCCCCCCCCACACACACAGCCCCCCCTCCACACACAGCCCCCCCCCACCACACAGCCCCCCCCACCCACCAGCCTCCCACCCACCACAGCCCCCCCCACACACAGCCCCCCCCCACACACAGCCTCACAGCCCCCCCCCCCCCCCCCCCCACTTCACAACCTGACAGTTTGTCTCCCACAGTGATGTCCACAGTTTGGCTGCAAATCGGACAGTGCGGTAACCAGGTCGGGCAGCAGTGGTGGGACATTGTCACCAGGGACGAGGCCAGGTGTGTACTCACACTCACAGCACAGCGCTGGACAGGTGTGTACTCACACTCACAGCACAGCGCTGGACAGGTGTGTACTCACACTCACAGCACACCGCTGGGCAGGTGTGTACTCACACTCACAGCACACCGCTGGGCAGGTGTGTACTCACACTCACAGCACAGCGCTGGACAGGTGTGTACTCACACTCACAGCACACCGCTGGACAGGTGTGTACTCACACTCACAGCACAGCGCTGGACAGGTGTGTACTCACACTCACAGCACAGCGCTGGACAGGTGTGTACTCACACTCACAGCACACCGCTGGACAGGTGTGTACCTACAGCTCAGTCCGAAACACTGTCTGTCCTTCTGATGTGATCAGACACTATACCAACTGCGTTCCACGGCCGCACTCTCCACCTCGCAAAGCCATCAGGAACCTCGGGGTTCCCCTCGACCCTGAGCCGTCCTTTCTCCCTCACATCCGCACCACAACTGGCACCGCCTTCCATCACCTCCAGAATATCGCCAGACTACGGCACTACCTCACCCTCACGCGGCTGAAACCCTGGTCCACGCCTTTGTCACCTCAAGGCTGGACTATGGGAACTCTCTCCTCGCCGGCCTTCCCGCCACCTCCCTCCACACTGCAGGTCATTCAGAACTCTGCAGCTCGTGTACTGTCCCGCACCAGACACCGCACCACACTCACCCTCGCCCTCACCCTCGCCCTCACTCCCACCCTCGCCTTCACCCTCACCCTCACCCTCGCCCTCACCCTCGCCCTCACCCCCACCCTCGCCCTCACTCCCACCCTCGCTCCCCTCCACCGGCTCCCCATCCCCCAGAGGATTGATTTCAAGATCCTCATCCTCACCTACAAGGCCATTCACGGCCTCGCTCCCTCCTACCTCTCCAACCTACTATCCCCCTACCTACCTGCCCGTACCCTCCGTTCCTCTGGCTCCGGTCTGCTCCACATCCCCCCCCCCAACCGCCCTACCATCGGTGGTCGGGCCTTCAGCCTCTCAGCCCCGAGGCTCTGGAACTCTATCCCCAGTGCCTTCGCCGCCTCCTCCCTTTCCTCCTTCAAGGCCGGTCTCAGAACCTTTCTCTTTGACCGTACCTTCAGCTCCCCTCTCGACTCTCTACCCCCTCCTCGCTCCTTCCCTCCCCTCACCCTGACCATTTCCCCCCTCCTCGCTCCCTCCCTTCCCTCCCCTCACCCTGACCATTTCCCCCTCCTCGCTCCCTCCCTTCCCTCCCCTCACCCTGACCATTTCCCCCTCCTCCTCCCCTCCCTTCCCCCCTCACCTGACCATTTCCCCCTCCTCGCTCCCTCCCTTCCCTCCCTCACCCTGACCATTTCCCCCTCCTCCTCCTCCCTCCCTTCCCTCCCTCACCCTGACCATTTCCCCCCTCCTCGCTCCTCCCTTCCCTCCCCTCACCCTGACCATTTCCCCCTCCTCTCTCCCTCCCTCCCTTCCCTCCCCTCACCCTGACCATTTCCCCCTCCTCTCTCGCTCCTCCCTTCCCTCCCTCACCCTGACCATTTCCCCAATGCTCGGGTCATGACCCAACTGTGCAGCGCCTTGGGACGTCCTCCTGACGTGAAAGGCGCTCTATAAATGGAATCTTGTTGTTGTTGTTGTTGTTCGGGCTGACATGTGCTGTGTGTCCAGCTGACATGTGCTGTGTGTCCAGCTGACATGTGCTGCGTGTCCAGCTGACATGTGCTGTGTGTCCAGCTGACATGTGCTGCGTGTCCAGCTGACATGTGCTGCGTGTCCAGCTGACATGTGCTGTGTGTCCAGCTGATATGTGCTGTGTGTCCAGCTGACATGTGCTGCGTGTCCAGCTGACATGTGCTGTGTGTCCAGCTGACATGTGCTGCGTGTCCAGCTGACATGTGCTGCGTGTCCAGCTGACATGTGCTGTGTTGGGGTGATGTTTGCTGTGTGTCCAGTTGTCGTGTGCTGTGTCTGCGCTGACATCTGCTGTGCGTCTGGGGTGACGTGTGCTTTGCGGGCGACGACATGTGCTATGTGTCCGGGTGACGTGTGCTGTGTGTCCAGGTGACGTGTACTGTGAGTGGGGCTGGCGTGTGTTGTGTGTCAGGGCTGACGTGTGCTGTGTGTCAGACGTGTGTTCCAGGCCGCGGATGGGAAGTTGAGTGCACTCTGTGTGGACAGTGAGCCGAAGGTGATCAGGAGGCTACGGAAGGAGGTGCAACACGGGTATGTCACGCTCCCATCACGCCACGCACGCCCTCCCTCCTAAACACACACAGCCCCCCCCACACACACATACCCAGCCCCCCCCCCCCCCCACACACACACACACACATACCCAGCCCCCCCACCCCCCCCCCACACACACATACCCAGCCCCCCACCCGCCCCCCCCCACACACACACACACATACCCAGCCCCCCACCCCCCCCCACACACACACACACATACCCAGCCCCCCCCCCACACACACACATACCCAGCCCCCCACCCCACCCCACACACACATACCCAGCCCCCCCCACCCCACACACACACATACCCAGCCCCCCCACCCCCCCCACACACACATACCCAGCCCCCCCACCCCCCCCCACACACACACACATACCCAGCCCCCCCCCCCCACACACACACACATACCCATCCCCCCCCACACACACACACACATACCCAGCCCCCCCACACACACACACATACCCAGCCCCCCCCCACACACACACACACATACAAACAGCCAAACGCGCCACATACATACACACAGCCCTGCCACACACACACACCCTCTCCCCCAGGGAGAGTGGCATTAGACTTGGGGGAGGGAGGGAGAGTGGGGTTAGACTGGGGGGAGTGAGGAGAGAGTGGGGTTGGACTGGGGGGAGTGAGGGGAGAGTGGGGTTAGACTGGGGGAGTGAGGGAGAGTGGGGTTAGACTGGGGGGAGTGAGGGAGAGTGGGGTTAGACTGGGGGGAGTGAGGGAGAGTGGGGTTAGACTGGGGGGGAGTGAGGGAGAGTGGGGTTAGACTGGGGGGAGTGAGGGGAGAGTGGGGTTAGACTGGGGGGAGTGAGGGAGAGTGGGATTAGACTGGGGGGGAGTGAGGAGAGAGTGGGGTTGGACTGGGGGAGTGAGGGGAGAGTGGGGTTAGACTGGGGGGAGAGAGGAGAGAGTGGGGTTAGACTGGGGGGAGTGAGGGGGGAGTGGGGTTAGACTGGGGGGTGAGGGGAGAGTGGGGTTAGACTGGGGGGGTGAGGGGAGAGTGGGGTTAGACTGGGGGGAGTGAGGGGGTTATGGACTGGATGGACCAGAAGGAATGTCCGTGTTGTGTGCCGGAACATTCCGTGATGGGGCTGTGGGTGACGCTGAGCCTCTTGTTTTTTGTGACAGGATTTTCCGTGACTCCAACACGATCCTGGGCCGGGGCGGCCGCGGCGGGAGCTGGGCCCTGGGTAACGTCCCTCACCGACCCCCGCCTGTCCCCGGCCTCCCCACTGCGCTCCCCCCCCCCCCCCCGGGGTCAGGAGATTGTGGGTTCGAGCCCTACATGTCGGAGTCTCTGAGCTCACAGCCCCAGTGCCGGGGGAGAGAGAGAGAGAGAGAGACCATTCTCCGAGACGCCGTCCTTCAGATGAGACGTTAAACCTCACTCCACGTCTGTGCGCTGTTCAGGCGGACGTTAAAGATCCCGCGACGCCGTCGGGAAAAGAGAAGGGAGTGTCTCTCTCTCTCTCTCTCCCGGTGTTCCGCGGATTAGAACACTCTCCTCTTCAGCGAGAGGACCCGGGTTTGATTCTCGGGCGGACAAAACCCCCCGGGGCACGTTTCCTGGCGCCACTCGCCTCTGTTTACCCGACAATAAGTAGGATCCCGGATATTGGTCGATTGGCGGGTGAATTTTTCAGGGGTAATAATCCTTTTAAAAAAAACGTTCACTCAATCCCCGACTGTTTGCGGGGACGCTGCGGTGTACAATTGGGCTGCTGTGTTTCAGCCACAAAATACACAGTCACTACACTTTACAGTGTATCCTGTGAAGCGCTTTGAGACGTCTCAACGAGGTGATCAGGCGCTGCTGTGCCGAATGCCGGGATTATTACTCTTTATTCATATCTCTTCACCCTCTCGGTGTCTCGCTGTTATCCACGGTGACCACCTCAGCCCTCGCCCCAGTCAGCCCCCACACTGCGCCCGACAGCAACGGATGACTGAAGCCGCGGTCGAAGAGGAGGGTCTTGAGATGGGCCTTGAAGGGAGGCGAGGGAGGGGGCGAGGGGAAGGGACCGTGGGATGGAGTTGCAGACGGTGGGGGCAGAGAGGCTGAAAGCCCGATCGCTGATGGTGGGGCAGACCGGGGGGGACCCGGAACAGGCCGGAAGGCTGAGCGGTGGGAGCGGACATGTTGACGTGGGGGTCAGCAGGTCACAGATAGGGAGGAGCGAGGCCACGGAGGCCTTGAAGGCGAGGACGAGGATTTTGAACTGTATCCTCTGGGCGATGGGGAGCCATTGGAGCCGGGCGAGGGGGGGGGGGGTGATGGGGTCACGGAGCTGTCTCTCTCTCTCTCTCTCTTTCTCAAACCTTTTCACTCTGTTAACCCGGGGCTTGGAGTGCGTTCCAGAGGGGACGCGGGTCCATGTTGCACCACTTGTTGCCCCCCTAACACCAAGGGTCCTGTTACAGGGTACCACGGCCCCCCAGACTCCAGCCACACCGATCTGGTGACAGCGACCATGGAAAGCTTCCGGAAGGAAGTGGAACGACGGGATAGTTTCTGTGGTGTCGTCATACTGCACAGTCTGAGCGGAGGCACCGGCTCAGGTCAGGGCTCACTCTGTACCCCCCTCACCCCCCACACCGGGAGCTTTACCGTGTCTCTAACCCTGACCTGGAAATGTGGACAGACAGCGCCTTGGGACGTCCTCCCGACGTGAAAGGCGCTATAGAAATGTAATGTTGTTGTTGTTGTATCAATCAGTAAGGTGAGGATGTTTCCCAGGTCTGGGATCTCGGCTGTGTGAGGTGATCCGGGAGGAATACCCGCTGGGACAGGTGCTGGCAGTGACGGTATGTCCGCACCGCGCTGGTGAGAACCCGGTGCAGAACTACAACGCTCTGCTCTGCCTGGCCCGGCTCGACAGGTAACTCCACCGTCCCAGCTCCTCGGGACGTCCGCCGTGTGAAAGGCGCTGTGTAAATGTCACTTGTTGTTGGCCCCACATCAACCTGTCCTCTCCCTCCGCTACAGCCTCCTCCACATTCCCCGCCCGGCCCATCCCACCCCACCATCGGCGGTCAGGACTTCAGCCTCTCCGCCCCCACCCTTTGCAATCCCATCCCACAGTCCATGTGCCCCACTCCCTCTCTTACCTACTTCAAGGTACCTCTCAAGACCGCACCTACCCCTGTCCTCCCTGCCCTCCACCCCTCCTGATCCCAACCCACAGCTCGGGAACAAATCCCTGACGTTGGGATGTCCTCCCAACATGAAAGGCACCGGGTAAACGTCATGTGTTGTTGCAGACCTGAGGAGTTTGGGGTGAGATGCCTGAGGGGGTAAAATAAAACAATAATAATAATCCTTGGCTTTTGATATAGCGCATTATTACATCATTGAGATGTCTCAAAGCGCTTCACAGAATATACTGTGTAATAACTGTATCTTTGTGGGAGAAACGCCAATTGCGCATAACAGTGTCCCACAAACAGTCATGGATTGAGTGCCCACATTTTTTTTCAAGGGACTATTACCCCCAGAAAGCGACGGCAATCGACTGACACCCAGGTTCCTTCTTACTGTTGGGCAAACAGAGACGTGCGGAGCAAAGAAACGTGCCTAACCTTTCTCCCTGCCCGGGGATTCGAACCCAGGTCCTCTCGCTTGTGAGGCGAGCGCTCTAACCACTGAGCTACAGGACTCCGGTGGGTGGGTCGGTGGGTGGGGTGGGGTTGGGTGTGGGGATGCCGCCTGTAGTATGTGACGCTGTGTGAACACCCCACAGGTTTGCCGATGGTGTCCTCCTGTTCCACAATGACGAGGCGCTGTGTCGGGGGGCACAGCCCGGGGATGGCAGCAGATCTCTGACAGCCATGAACTCACACATTGCCCGCTGCCTGGCTGGCCTCCTCACCCCCGTCAGCAACCTCCACGCCCGCAGGTACGTGGTGAGGGGGCGACAGAGAGATGGAGGGTGAGAGGAGAGTGACAGAGAGAGTGAGGGGATGCAGGAGGGCGGAGAGCGGGTGGGAAGGGGGGCACACAGACGTCAGTTGTATTTCAGGAGGTGCGGCTGTGGCTCAGGTTGGGGTGGGGGGGGGGTTACAGTCTGGGGGGGGGGGGGTTCCCTGTGGCTCTGTCTGTCCCTCATATTCATGTGTCCCTCATACTCTGCTTTCAGTGGTGTCAGTATCGGGCTCGAGCCCTGGGAGCTCCTGAGGTCTGTCTGTCCCGTCCCAGCAATCAAGTTCCTTCACAGCGCACAGGCGAACACAAGGTAACAGGCGAACACGAGGTAACAGGCGAACACGAGGTAACAGGCGAACACGAGGTAACAGGCGAACACGAGGTAACAGGCGAACACCAGGTAACAGGCGAACACCAGGTAACAGGCGAACACCAGGTAACAGGCGAACACCAGGTAACAGGCGAACACCAGGTAACAGGCGAACACCAGGTAACAGGCGAACACCAGGTAACAGGCGAACACCAGGTAACAGGCGAACACCAGGTAACAGGCGAACACCAGGTAACAGGCGAACACCAGGTAACAGGCGAACACGAGGTAACAGGCGAACACGAGGTAACAGGCGAACACGAGGTAACAGGCGAACACGAGGTAACAGGCGAACACGAGGTAACAGGCGAACACAGTAAAGCTCCCACTACGCTGTCCGTCCACACTCCCAGGTCATCGACAGCATGGGTTAGAGACAGTAACTTCCCTCTGCGCTCTCTGCATTGCTCCACCCCCCGCACTGTCTCGTGCGGTATCCCTCGGGGCTCTGTCCTCGGTCCCCTCCTCTTCACCCTCTATATGCTCCCCCTGTGGTGACATCATCCGCAGACATGGGGTTAACTTCCACATGTATGCGGATGACACCCAACTCTACCTTTCCTCCTCTACTCTCAACTCCACGACCCCCGATGTCCTGACAGCTGTCTGTCCGACATCGAGTCCTGGACGAGAGACAACTTTCTTCAGCTCAACGTGCGAAAAACCGAGGCCCTCCTGATTGGCTCACGTCAGCGCCTCCGCACCTCAGGCGCTGACACCATCAGCATCCGAGGCTGCACTCTCCACCTCTCAAAGCCATCAGGAACCTCGGGGTACTGGTCGACCCTGAGCTGTCCTTTCTCCCTCATATCCGCACCACAACTGGCACCGCCTTCCATCACCTCCGGAACATCGCCAGACTACGGCACTACCTCACCCCTCACGCGGCTGAAACCCTGGTCCACGCCTTTGTCACCTCAAGGCCGGACTATGGGAACTCTCTCCTCGTCGGCCTTCCCGGCCCTCCCTCCACACTGCAGGTCATTCAGAACTCTGCAGCTCGTGTACTGTCCCGCACCAGACACTGCGCCAACATCACTCCCACCCTCGCCCTCGCCCTCACTCCCACCCTCGCCCTCGCTCGCCTCCACTGGCTCCCCATCCCCCAGAGGATCGAATTCAAGATCCTCATCCTCACCTACAAGGCCATTCACGGCCTCGCTCCCTCCTACCTCTCCGACCTACTATCCCCCTACCTACCTGCCCGTACCCTCCGTTCCTCTGGCTCCGGTCTGCTCCACATCCCCCGCCCCAACCGCCCTACCATCGGTGGTCGGGCCTTCAGCCTCTCAGCCCCGAGGCTCTGGAACTCCATCCCCCAGTGCCTTCGCCGCTTCCTCCCTTTCCTCCTTCAAGGCCGGTCTCAAGACCTTCCTCTTCAACCGTGCCTTCAGCTCCCCTCTCGACTCTCTACCCCCTCCTCGCTCCCTCCCTTCCCTCCCCTCACCATTTCCCCCCTCCTCGCTCCCTCCCTTCCCTCCCCTCACCCTGACCATTTCCCCCCAGTGCTCGGGTCATGACCCAACTATGCAGCGCCTCGGGACGTCCTCCTGACGTGAAAGGCGCTTTATAAATGGAATCTTGTTGTTGTTGTTGTTGCTGTGCCAGAGTGTGTGTGTGTGTGTGGTGTGTGTGTGCGTGTATATGGTGTGCGTGTGTGTGTGTGGTGTGTGTGCGTGTGTGTGTGCGTGTATGTGTGTGTATATGGTGTGCATGTATGTGTGTATATAGTGTACGTGTGTGTGTGTATATGGTGTGCGTGTATATGGTGTGTGTGTGTGTGTGTATATGGTGTGCATGTGTGTGTGTATATAGTGTGCGTGTGTGTGTATATGGTGTGCGTGTATATGGTGTGCGTGTATATGGTGTGCGTGTGTGTGTGCGTGTATATGGTGTGCGTGTATATGGTGTGCGTGTGTGTGTGTATATGGTGTGCGTGTGTGTGCGTGTATATGGTGTCTGTTCTCTTGCTTGTTTTCAAACCACTTCGTTCCCCCGCACCTCCCCACCTCTCTGACCTCTCTCCCTCAATCCCTCCGCCTCGGCCCCTCCCTCTCCCTCTCCACCTTCAAATCCACCTGAAATAATAATAATAATCCTTGCATTTGATATAGCGCTTTTCACGTCGGGAGGACGTCCCAAAGCGCTTCACAGAACACACTGTAAAGTGAAGTGACTGTATATTTGTGGGCGAACGCGGCAGCCAATTGCGCACAGCAATGTCCCACAAACAGTCGTGGATTTGAAAATGACCAATTTATTTATTATTGTTTTGTTTTTTTGGAGGGTTTATTATTATGAAGACCTTCCTTTTTGATCACTTCCCCCCTCCCTTCCCCCTCGCTCGTGGTCAGACTCCGCCACTGTCAAGCGCTTTGGGACACTACCCCACGCAAAGGGCGCTATAGAAATGCAAGTTGTTGTCGTGTATGTTACAGGACCATGTGCTGGGATGGTCTGGTGTCCTCTCTGCTTCGCTCGGTGCTGACTCGCTCGCCCAGCGGACAGGCTGTATCCTTTCCTCTCCTTCCTGACAGATTAAGTGCCCGAGACGCTGCCCTGTGTGAAGGCCGCTGCGTAAATGCTGCATAAAAATAGTTGTTGAGAGCTCTGGGGGTGACAGTGATGGTAAAGCTTAACTACCGCTCAGTACTGGAGCACGGCAGTGTGTGTGTGGGTGCGTTGGGGGGTGGGGGGGGGGAGCGGGGTTGTGTGTTTTGGGGTGTGTGCGTGTGTGTGTTGGGGTATGTGTGAGGGGGATGGTGCCTGTGTCGGGGTGTGCGTGAGGGGTTATTGGGGATGACAGTGAAAGACCTTATCTTACACTCAGTACGCGAGCACAGCGGTGCGTGTGCGCGGCTGGAGGTGTTGGGTGTATGTGTGTGTGGTGGGGGGGAACGGTGTGTGGGTGAGGGTATGCGTGTGAGGGGTTGTTGGGGTGACAGTGAAACCTTAGCTAATACGCAGTACTGGAGCACGGCGCTGTTGGCTGTCGCTCGCGGGGCCTCCCCAGGCCCAGGCCCGGGCTCCGGCCTCTCCTCACTCTACAGCCTCCGCACCCGCCTCAGCCGCGGCTACAACTGTGTCACCTGGAACCCCCGTCCCGTGGAGTACTGGTCAGGTCAGACCAGGCAGCCCAGGCACAAACTAATGGGGTTGGAGTAGAGTAGAGAGCTCCAGTGGGGGAGTGAGCCCCAGCACAGACACGATGAGGGTTGGGGGTGGAGAGAGCAGGGAATGGGGTTAGAGAACTCCAGTGGGGGAGTGAGCCCCAGCACAGACACGATGAGGGTTGGGGGGGAGAGAGCAGGGAATGGGGTGAGAGTAGAGAGCTCCAGTGGGGGAGTGAGCCCCAGCACAGACACGATGAGGGTTGGGGGGGGAGAGAGCAGGGAATTGGGTTAGAATAGTGAGCTCCAGTGGGGCCGTGGACGGGCTGACAGACCCCCATCTTGTCCAGTGTCTGTGGCTGTGTGGAGTGAGGAGATGAAGAGTTGAGGGGTTGAGTGTGAGGACTGATACACATTTTTTTTTTCCTCTTCCAGATCCCAAGAACATCATTGACGTGGCATTGCCGAGCCGTTCACTGACAGTCTGCGCCAACCACAGCAGCGTGGCTGAGTACATGCAGCACGTGGTGGGCAGAGCGCGGGCCATGTACCAGGCTGGGGCCTACCTGCACTGGTACTGGAGGCACGGCTGTGAGGAGAGCGACTTCCTGCAGGCCTTCCAGCAGCTGAGCTGTGTAGAGCAGGAATACAGCACCGCGGTGGGCAGCGTGTGAGCAGCCGGGGCTGCGGGCGGCGTGTGAGCAGCCGGGGCTGCGGGCGGCGTGTGAGCAGCCGGGGCTGCGGGCGGCGTGTGAGCAGCCGGGGCGGCGGGCGGCGTGTGAGCAGCCGGGGCTGCGGGCAGTGACTCCACATAGCAACAAGCAGTTACCAGTTGCGCTGCTGTCTGTGTGTGGTCATGTCTGACTGTGCTCGGTCTACGTCGACGCTTGTCAAGGTCTACTTCAAGGCTGGACTATGCCAACTCCCTGCTTGTTGGCATTCCCAACGCTTCCCCTTCCACAAGCTGCAGAACACCCAGAAATCTGCAGCTCACGTCCTCTCCCTCATCAGGCTCCGAGGCCCCATCACCCCCACCCTCGCCCTCCACTGGCTCCCCATTCCCAGAGGATAGAGTTCAAAATCCTCGCCCTCGCTTTCAAAGCCCTCCATGGCCATGTCCTCCCTACCCGTGACCTGCCAACCCCACATCAACCTGTCCGCTCCCTCCCTCAGCGGGCTCTGCCTGCTCCCCATCGTCCCCGCCCACCCCACCCTCGCCGGTCGGGCCTTCAGCTTCTCTGCCCCCACCCTTTGGAACTCCATCCCACAGTCCCTTCGCCTCGGCCCCCTCCCTCACCTCCTTCAAGGCACTTCTCAAGCCCTTCCTTTCGACCACGAGTTCGGTCACTCTCCTACACCCACCCGCCCTGCCCTCCACCCTCCTGATCCCAACCCCCAGTTTAGGTCCAAATCCCTGACTCTCCAGCCCCTTGGGATGTCCTCCCGATGTGAAAGGTGCCGTGTAAATGTAATGTGTTGTTTTCTACAGTGTATAGTTTGGACCATCACATGTACAGCACTGTCAGGATGGTGTAAGGCAAATGGATGGTCTTTTGTTGAGCAAATTCTTATGTTGTTAAGTTTTGAGCAAAACACGCACGGACACACTAAAGTCTTATGTTGTAACTTGTTAGTTTTCTCACTGCTGTCTGTACATAGCTTTCAGACGGAGTTGATATCACAAGGTGGGGTTACAGTAATGGGAGTGGGGGGGTGGGGGGCGGTGCTGCTGAAAGGAAAGGCAGATCCCATTGTACACACAGCGCTCTCTCTCTCTCGCTTGCTCTTGCGCTGTCTCTAGGCGAGGCTGAAGGCCGAGGGGGGTTTGGTTTTGATGGTGCGGGTGATGGCTCCAGCCTGCTTCACTGCCCGCACGGTCTGTGCCTGTGACCCGACTTTGAGCTTGTGCTGGGACAGAGGAAGGAAATAAACCACGTGTGAGTTGTAATATTGTCATCATGTCGTTGCACAAATCAATCTGTGGAGCAGATTAGAAGCAAACCCCCTGTAGCTCAGTGGTTACAGAACTCGCCTCACAAGCGAGAGGACCAGGGTTCAATTCCCAGGCAGAGCAAAACCTTAGGCAACTTTCCTTACTCCACACATCTCTGTTTACCCAGAAGTAAGTAGGAATCCAGTTGTTAAGTCAATTGGTGGATCACTTTTCTGGGGATAATAATCTACATTATTCTGGGAAATGCCTTGAGGCGTCTCAATGATGTGATAAGGAGTTATATCAAATGTAAGGATTATTATTATTGGGATGTTTAAAGGGAGATGGACAGTTAACTGTAAACACAGAGACGATTAAAGGTTGTTATTGTTGAAACAGCTTGACTCCTTCATTGATGTTCCTTTTCAACTGCGCCTTCAGTCACTCTCCTACCCCCACCAATTGCCCTCCACCCCTCCTGATCTCCACCCTCAGCTCAGGTCCAAATCCCATCGTGTCCAGTGCCTTGGGACATCCTCCTGACGTGAAAGGCTCTGTGTAAATGCAATTTGTTGTTTTTGTTAAGGGTGTGGGGAAACAGTGCAGAAATACGATTGAAAGCTGCTGGTGTAGTGACTGTGTGACCTACCCGCTGCTGCATCCTCATCCTGGCATTGTAAAAGGCAACAGAGTCCGGGTTCTCCCTCAGTATCTCCTGCTGGACTCTCTGAAACCTCTCCTTATCATCTTCATTCTGGGGAGGGGAACAGGCAGTAACTTCAGGACACCGACTGTTCTCTTTGGACACACACACGCACGTACACACACACACAGCGACTGTTCTCCTCGGACACACACACACTGCTCCCAGCTATTCCACACCCTAACCACTCTGTGTGAAAGATCTCTCCTAACCTCCCTGTTTGCTCGTTTACTAACTCTTACCTTCTGAGCTGATTGAGGGATGCAGAGGTCTGGGTTGGAGGGGAGGGAACGCTGGCACTGACAGGTGACTTACCAGTGAGGCAATCCTGGAAGCGGGAATCATTCCGGGTCGAATGGCCTCCGGCAGTGGGGAAAAGCGCAGGTCGGGGGGCAGCAGGTACATCTCATTGTACCAGGTCTCGAACTCTGCAGGTCAACACGAGAGGAAGAGGAAGAGAGTCTCAATCAATCCTCCCACCACCTCACCTCACAACAGGCGTCATGAAGGAGTCAAACCCGTCTCAACCATAAGAACAATCCTGCAGATTAACTCACTGTCGGGTGTATCTCGCTGTGGTTTAAAGGGTTAAATTTAGGATGTAAACGTGGTCTCTATTCCCTTGAGTTTGGAAGGTTGAGGCTGATCTGATTGAGGTGTTTAAAATAATAAAGGGATTCGATAGCGTAGCGACAGAGAAACTATTTCCTCTGGAGGAGGAATCCAGAATAAGGGACGTCATCTTAAAATTAGAGCCGGGCCATTTAGGAGTGAAATCAGGGGCAGTTTTTCACATAAAGGGGAGTGGGACGTCCTCCTGATGTGAAGGATGCTATCCAAGTGTTATTTTGTATTGTTGGGGAAATCTTCAACTCTCTCCCCAAAAGGCTGTGTATTATTGCTGGATCCATTCATATTGTCCAGACTGAGGTGGAGAGAGGTTTGTCAGGTCAGGGGATCAAAGGATTGGGGCAAAGGCGGGTAATTGGAGCTGAGGTGCAGATCAGCCATCATCTAATCGAATGGTGGAACAGGCTTGAGGGGCTGATTGGCTGGGAAACATACAGCGCAGAGACACATGGGAGGTGTGTTGCACAGAGGTGGCTGGGGGGGCCTGTGGGAGGCGTGTTGGAGATCGCAGGGAGATGTGGGGAGGCATGTAGAGCAGAAACGCCAGGAGGCGTGTTGTACGCATGTGGGAGGGGTGTGGCAGGTGTGTGGGAGGCGTGTTGGAGCCCAGCTGACAAGTACCCAGCAGCAGGCGGTGTCGACACTGCTCCACCAGGCGCTGGCAGTAATGCACCTCCACACGCAGGTCCTTGAGCACCTCCCACTCCTGACGGTATTGCTGCTTCAGGGTCTTCAGCTGCAGGATCAGGTTTAACTCCTCCTCGTCAATTACCGGCTCCCCCTCCTCACTCACATACTCTCCTACAGGCCACAGATACACAGAGAAAGGGGAGAGAGGTCACTCGACGGTGAGGGATTTGTACCTGAGCTGGTGGGTTGCAATCAGGAGGGGTGGAGGGCAGGGTGGGTGGGTGGAGGGCAGGGTGGGTGGGTGGGTGGGTGGGGGGCAGGAGGGTGAACAAAGGCGCTGTCACAAAGGAGGGTCTTGAGACGGGTCTTGAAGGAGGTGAGGGAGGGAGCGAGGAGAGTGGAATGTGCGATGGAGTTTCAAAGGGTGGGGGGCAGAGAGGCCCGAAGGCTTGCCCGCCGATGGTGGGGCGGGGTGGGGCGGGGCGGGGGATGTGGAGTAGGCCCGAGCTGCTGAGCGGAGGGAACCTGGACTGCTTGAATTGACCAAAGTGTTAGACTAAAGAAAAATCGCAGAGACTCACGGACTTGCAGCCGCTTGAAAGCCAAGGACAGTGGAAACTTGTGCATGGAACAGGGTCAAGAAATTAAATAACCCTCACAGAGCGGGCAGGGCGGGACGGTGTTAGCAGGTCACACGGGTGGGAAGGAGCAAGGCCGTGGAGGGCTTTATCTCAACGACGTGGTAAGGCACCATATCAAATGCAAAAGCCCTTGTATTTGGTTCACCCACAAATATACAGTCAATTCACTTTACAGTGTGTTCTGTGAAGCGCTTTGGGATGTCCTCCCGACGTGAAAAGCGCTATATCAAATGCAAGGATTATTATTATTATTATTATTACAGCGCCTTATCACGTCAGTGAGATAGCTCAAAGCGCTTCGCAGAATATATTATTTAGTGACTGTATTTTGTGGGTGAAACGCGGCAGCCAAAGGTTGTCAGGAGGGACTTGAAAAAGGGGAGAGAGGGTCAAGGCGGAGGGATTGATGGAGATTGTTCCACAGTTTGGGGGCGTATAATAAGAAATAATAATCATTGCATTTGATATAGGGACTTGTTGCGACGTCTCTAAGCGCTTCACAGAATATACTGTAAAGTGTAGTGACTGTGTTTTGGGGGCAAAACATGGCAGCCAATTGCGCACAGCAGCGTCCCACAGACAGACATGGATTGAGTGAGCACATTTTTTTAAAACGTTTTTTTAAAAGGGGATTTTTAGCCCCGGAAAGGCGATCCGCCAATCGACTAACAGACGGGTTCCTACTTTGTGCTGCGTCACCAGAGGTGTGTGGAGTAAGGAAACTTGCTTAGGTTTCGCTCTGCCCGGGAATCGAGCCCAGGTCCTCTGACTTGCGAGGCGAGTGCTCTAACCACTGAGCTACAGGACTATAGACTAAGACATAAGACGGGGTGGGGGTAGGGTGAGAGGGGATTAGGGTCTCTTCACCTTGAAGCATGCGCTCGCCCTTCTTGCTGTGTAGTGACTGTTTAGTAACATCGATGTCCTCCTTTATGTTATTGATGCGGTTGGTAAGTTCCCCCATGTGCAGTTTCTTCTCGTTGAAGATCACCTTGTTCTCTTTTAGAATACGCGAGATCTCTCTGCCCTTCTCTGCTTTGAAGATCTCAAAGGCGATCTCTCGGGACGGGGGAGTCCTGAGACACAAACAGCACAGCACGAATCAGGAAGAGCTAGGCCAAGCACACCTAAAGCCATCACATAGCATACATATAGGAACATGAGAACAGGAGGAGGCCATTCAGCCCCTTGAGCCTGTTCCGCCAAGCTATAAGATCGTGGCTGATCTGCACCTCAGATCCAATTACCCGCCTTTGCCTCATATCCCTCGATCCCGACCTGACAAACATCTCTCCACCTCAGTCTGGACAATGTGAATGGATCAGCCATAATCCACAGCCTTTTGGGGGAGAGTTCCAGATTCCCACTGTCCTTTGTGTGAAAAACTGCCCCTGATTTCACTCCTAAATGGCCCGGCTCTAATTTTAAGATGACGTCCCTTATTCTGGGTTCCCCCTCCAGAGGAAATAGTTTCTCTGTAGCTATGCTACTGAATCCCTTTATAATTTTAAACACCTCAATCAGATCAGCCTCAACCTTCCAAACTCAAGGGAATAGAGACCAAGTTAAGTTTAAGCAACCGGTCCTCATAATTTAACCCTTTTAGCCCTGGTATCATTCTCTGCGCTGCACCCCCTCAGAGCCAATGTATCCTTCCTGAGGTGCAGAGCCCAAAACTGAACACAGTCTCCATATGGGGTCTGACCAAGACTCTGGACAAATGAAGCATCAGCTTCAGTCTCTCACATCAGGACAACTTCCAAAGCGCCTGCCTTTGCTGGCTGGGCGGCGAGGGGTGGGGGAAGGTGTGGTCAAACGGTAGGTCTCAAAATGGACTTTGGGATGGAGTTCCAGAGATCAGAGAATGGCTGAAAGCTAGTGCTGAAGGTGGCCGGATAGGGCAGGGGAAATGAAACAGGCCAATGTTTGCTGAGCCAAGAAAGCAGGCAGGTCAGTGTGGTTTGAGGAGGTCGTAGAGTTAGGATGAGGTGAGACTGAAGGGCTTTGAAGGTGAGGATGAGGATTTTGAACTCTATCCCCTGGAGGAAGGGGAGCCAATGGAGCCGGGTGAGGGTGGAGGTGATGGGGTCACGGAGCCTAGTGCGGGAGAGGACACGGGATGCAGAGTTCTGGATAATCTACAGCTTCTGGAGGGAAGAGGTGGGGAGTCTGGCGAGTTAGCATACTCGAGTCTGGATGAGATAAAGGCACGGATGAGGGTCTTGGTGGCCTGAGGGGAGAGGTAGTGGTGGAGACAGGTAATGTTTCGGGGGTGGGGGAAAGCTGGGCAGTTCCAGAGCAGTGATGTGGTGTTTAAAGGGCAGTTAGAAGTTAAACAAAACACAGAGGTTCCACACTGGCTCTGTGAGGAGGAGATGGCATCCACGCCAATTGTTACTAAGGCCTTGGCAGGTGAGGAGTCAATCACGAGGGCCTCAGTCTTGTCATAGTTCAACTGCAGGAAGTTAGCTCTCATCCAGGACTTAATGTCTGACATAGGGTGATTTACAGCACAGGAGGAGGCCATTCGACCCATCGGGTCTGCCCTGGCTCTCAGGGCAAGCTGTCCATTCACCCCTTAGTCCTGGCCTATCCCTACACCCCTTCACACCTCTATCCTTCATGTACCTCTCTACTCTTTCCTGAAACCCACACATCCTGCTCCGCATCCCAACTACTCTGTATGTGAAAAATCTCTCCTAACTTCTCCTAAACTCACATTGTACCTGTGGCTTCCAGTTGCTGATTCCCCGACCAGTGGAAATAGCTTCTCCCTATTCACCTATCAAACCCTCTATCAGGTTCCCTTCCCTGTGGAGGTCACTTGTGGAATGTGTTACGTGAGGAATCTCCGGGCTGGTGAGGGGGTGGGGGGGGGGAACAAGGACAGGCTGTGGAGGCTGGTGGAGGGTGAAGCTGAAGTGATAATAAGAACAGATAGCGTTCCCTGAGAGGGTCTCATTACCCGAGCCTGACTTCCTCCAACTTGGGGATGGAGTCGGATCGAATCGGCTCGGTGCTCGTCACCTCTGACTCCCCGTACATTGATTCTCTCCCTTCTTTATACACCCCCTCCTTATGAGATGACTCCTTCTCTTTGTCTTTCTCCTTGACCTCCCTGTGGGCCGCTTCCTTGGCCTCCTTCAGTTCCTTGTGAGCTGCCTCCTTGGCTTCCCTGGCTTCCTTCCTGTGGAAGTCCCTGGTGGAACGTGTTAGGTGAGGGATCTTCAGTTCACATATTGGTTCCATGTCCTTTCCTGAAGGGGTGCTCCCTCGCTTGCCACAGGTACTGGGAATGAAACACATTAGAGTAGAGTTTATGATGGTTGAGATTGGTCATGTTAGTTATGAACTGTTCAATAACTGACCAGCAGGGGGCAGCCTCCCACACTCTCCCTTGACCTCCATTTTATTGAAGATCAACAGGGCTTTGAAATGTAATTTCCAGTTGGTGGGACAACTTACAACAACAACAACAACAACAACAAAATGTACCTAAATCACTTATAAGTTATTGTTTTTGTTGAATGTTTGTGTTCTGGGCTCGATCTTCTGAAGAGGAGTGAAGTCCATAATTTCTAAGTTGCTTAACTTCTAAGCCGCTCTCAGACTCAGGGGATGTTGGGGAAAGGTGACAGCATTTCCTGAGGGGAGGAGCAGGGAAGGTTCTGTCACTGCTGGTAGTTCTTTATGAAACAATCTAACTAACAAATAACAACAACTTGCATTTATACAACAACGAAATGACATTTACAAGCCGTCTTTCACGTCGGGAGGACGTCCCAAGGCGCTGGTCAGTCAGGGATCTGTATCCCAGCTGGGGGTTGGGGTCAGGAGGGGTGGAGGGCAGGACGGATGGGGCTAGGAGGGTGGCTGAAGGCGCGGTCGAAGAGGAGTACCGTGAGACATGTCTTGAAGGAGGCGAGGGAGGAAGCGCGGCGAAGGGATTGCGGGATGGAGTTCCTTCACGCAGGTAGCGCCTCGGAGGTGGCAAATGATTATTATATTCTACACAGATCTTATGCGCGGTGACGGGTTTCCGTATGTGTCAGACACCCGGCTGACCAAAAAAATCCTGATCTTTTTATCTTTTTCCCCATTTTTCCTGCTTAGCCTTTAATTCTCCCCCCACCCCCCCCACCACCCTGCCCACTCTCCCCCTGTTACTTCCCAAGTAATAACCATCTCCCTTTAAACACCCTGAATGTTTACAGCAGGTGGGTTGAGCTGTGATGTGAGACCTGTGGGTATCTGCTGGGACTGACCTTGACGCGTCTTTGTTCCTCCTGCTGCGGACACGCCTGGATTTGGTGGTGGGAGGAGTGGGCCCAATCCCGAATCCACGCCCATCAACCTCTCCAACCAGGGGTTTTTCTGGCTCCACCACAGGCTCAACCTGTAACATACCACAGACACCATCACACCATCGCACACTTCCAATCTGCACGCACACCAAACACCATCGCACACTCACGAGAACACACACCAAACACCATCGCACACGCATGACGTGCGCGCGCGCGCGCACACACACACACACACACCAAACACCATCCCACACTCACAATGTGCGCACACACACACACACACCATCCCACACTCACAATGTGCACACACACACACACACCAAACACCATCCCACACTCACAATGTGCGCACACACACCACACTCACACACATAGCCAAAAACATAGTCAAAGAGGAAGGTCTTGAGACAGATCTTCAATGAGGTGAGGGATGGGGCAAGATGGGGGGGGGGACTCAGTGAGGGCAAACACCACCCACACACCATACACACACACACCATCTCTCCCATCCATTCCTCTAACTCCCTCCCCCTCTACCCCCTGTGCCCACACAATACACATACACACTATGCACACACATGCACACACACACACACACGTGTTAGGCGTGGGAGCAGTTTAATGGTTGTGTCCGTTTTGATGAATGAATGGTGGGGGGGGGGGCTAAAAGGCTGTGACCATTTTAGTGAAGGGGGGGGGGTGGGGGTCATTTGTACAGCCACTGACTGGAACATAATAATAATAATAATCCTTGCATTTGATATAGCGCTTTTCACGTCGGGAGGACGTCTCAAAGCGCTTCACAGAACACACTGTAAAGTGAATTGACTGTATATTTGTGGGCGAACGCGGACAGTCGAGATTGAAAATGACCAATTTATTATTGTTTTTGGTTTTGGAGGATTATTATTAGGCTCTGTGTGGAGTAAGGAAACTTGCCCAAGGTTTCGCCCTCTGCCTGGAATTGAACTCAGGTCTCTCACTTGCAAAGCGAGTGCTCTAACCACTGAGCTACAGGACTCCATATCATAACATCTCCAGGAGCAGAAGTTCTGACCCTAGGATTCTCACACAGATGACACATGTTACAGCCATGTGTTTAACATGTCCTGATAGACCTGGATACCTTTTCATCAACGGGTGAGGTGACTTCATCTGTCCGGTCGATCATGGTGTACTTTGCGCGAAACATATCCTCGATTTCCTGCGCTTGTTTTCTGGTGAGGTGGAGGTGGGGAGAGACAGCGGTGGAAGGGGGGAGGTGGGGGGGAGAGAGTGGTGGAGGGGGAGAGGTGTGGGGAGAGAGGGGTGGAGGTGGGAGGGAGAGAGGTGGGGGGAGAGGTGGGGGGGAGAGGTGGGGGGGAGAGGTGGGGGGGAGAGAGGTGGGGGGGAGACAATGAGAGGTCAGGATTTTGAAAGTGAACATTGATGGGAATCTCCGAGCAGTTCCGCTGATCGCAGAGATCAGATTAGTATCAGACGGTTGTTGGTTTTGAGCCCCGATCTGAGCTCACAGTCCAGACTGATGCTCCGGCACAGTGCCCAGTGCCCAGTGCCCAGTGCCCAGTGCCCAGTGCTGGGGGGAGCGCGGGCTGCAAAGTCGGAGGCACCATCATTTGGAATGAGAGTTAACCTGAGCTCTCGTCTGTGGCACTGTTAATATCAGGGCTTAATGGCTGTGACAGGGTCCGGCTACTGGATGAACTGTGGCTGTGATGGCAGTGGTCACAGAGGGGTTAATGCTATGACAGGGGTGGGGCTATGGGACAGCGGGTGGGGCTACAGGACAGGGGGGTGGGACTACGGGACAGGGGGTGGGACTACAGGATGGGGGTGGGACTACAGGATAGGGGATGGGACTACGGACAGGGGGTGGGACTACGGGACAGGGGGTGGGACTATGAGACGGGCAAGGCTACAGGACCGGACGTGGGGCTACAGAACAGGGGGCGGGGCTACAGAACAGGGGGCGGGGCTACAGGACAGGGGGCAGGGCTACAGGGCAGGGGGAAGGGCTACAGAACAGGGGGCAGGGCTACAGGACAGGGGGCAGGGCTACAGGACAGGGGGCAGGGCTACAGGACAGGGGGCAGGGCTACAGGACAGGGGGCAGGGCTACAGGACAGGGGGAAGGGCTACAGGACAGGGGGCAGGGCTACAGGACAGGGGGTGGGGCTACAGGACAGGGGGTGAGGCTACAGGACAGGGGGTGGGGTTCTGCGCCAGACTCACTGTAAGAGGTACTTGAACTGTGCGAAGACCTCGCGGAGCTGCCGGAAGTTCACAACCTTTGAAACAAAATGGAAGAAAAACATGTGATGAGCTGTGGTGACACTGTCCTCAGTCTGTGTGTGTGTCAGATGTGTCACTGACACCCGTCACCGTGACCAGCCGGTGTCTGACACACACGGAAACCCGTCACCGTGACCAGCCGGTGTCTGACACACACGGAAACCCGTCACCGTGACCAGCCGGTGTCTGACACACAGACACCCGTCACCGTGACCGGCCGGTGTCTGACACACGGACACCCATCACCGTGACCAGCCGGTGTCTGACACACAGACACCCATCACCGTGATCAGCCGGTGTCTGACACACAGACACCCATCACCGTGACCAGCCGGTGTCTGACACACACAGACACCCATCACCGTGACCAGCCGGTGTCTGACACACACGGAAACCCGTCACCGTGACCAGCCGGTGTCTGACACACATGGAAACCCGTCACCGTGACCGGCCGGTGTCTGACACACACATTCTGACATCTTGCTGCTGTTGTACCGCCCTGCAGCCAGTGCAGCCCCGGGGAGACCCCACTTCCCCCCCCAACTGGAGGATGTTTCTCGAGATGTTATGCGACGTGTTCTCCTGTATAAATACAACAATAACAATGTGCATTGTACAGCAGTGTCTCAGAGCGTTGCTTTTGGGAAATAAAGCCTTCAGGGAGTTGACTTTGGAGCAGCTGGATTTTCCCCCGATGGAGAGCGAGCTGCCGCTTGGTTTGGAAGCTGGAACTGGGGCACGTTACTGCGAGTGCGAGAGTTGTTCAACGCTCAGAGAGGAACGGCTATCTGTGGGGCTGAGGAGAGCGTGGATAGCAGGAAGTACTTTGACTGCCAGTTCTTTTGAGGTCTCTCTCCTAATTCCTGTGGAGTCCTGTAACTCAGTGGTTAGAGCACTCGCCTCGCGAGCGAGAGACCTGGGTTTCATTCCTGGGCAAATGTTGGGAAAGTTTCCTCACTCCACACGCCTCTGTTTACCAGCAGTAAATAAGAACCCAGTTGTTAGTCGATTGGCGGGTCGCTATTCCAGGGGTAATAATTCCTTCAAAAAATTAAAAATAATAATAAACTGATCATTTAATCCACGACTGCTTGTGGGACACTGCTGTGTGTAATTGGCTGTCATGTTTCGCCCACAAAATATACAGTCACTACACTTTATAGTATATTCAGTGAAGCGCTTTGAGATGTCTTGAAGACATGATAAGGTGCTATATTAAATGCAAGGATTATTATTATAATAATACCCAGGATAGATGTTGTTGAACTCTCCCTCTATCCCTCCGTCTTGTTACCTCCTTCCCCATCTTCAGGTCATGCCTGAAGACCTTCCTCTTCGTCCGAGCCTACGGTCACCTCCCCCTCCCCCTGGCTTGGTTTCGTGCTCTGCCACTGTCAAGCGCTCTGGGACCCTACCTCTGCATGGGGGGTGGGTGGGATGGAGCTGCATAAATGCAGGTCGTTGTTGTCTATGTGTGTACAGTATTGGCCGGACTTCCATCATTTATAGGTTTGTAGGGCGAGAGAGAAGCCTGACAGGTGTGTGTGGCCAGTCCTGGGAGCACAGGGATTATAGAACACTCACATTGATCTCATCCAGGGTTCCCTCCAGGAAGCGGCAGACCTGGGAACGGATATCCTTCAGCTGGTTCTCTGTCAGCACCTCGTAGCTGATCTGCCCGCGGTTGGTCTGTGGCAAAGAAGCAAATCACATATATCCATATTAATAATAATAATAAACTTTGCAGTCGATAGAGTGCCTTATCACATATTCGAGATGTCTCAAAGTGAGGGACACACCCTGGTCACCAGGAGAGTATACGGTGCAGGTTGGCAAGAGCCAAGGTTTAGGCGAGACCAAAGCGTGCGTTGAGGTAACTACTGGAGTCTAACCAGCTAAACCCACACGGCTTGCCATTGAGAGCACTGTCTGGCAAGCTTTCCCGCTGCTTGTCCAGCTAGGACCATCCTCCCTATTAGGGCTTTGGCTGCAGGGAACTGAGTGGGAAAAATTCTCCAAAATTCTGGAGGTTAACTCTAATAATAATACATGTTCCAGGCGCAGAATCAAATGCAAGGATTTTTTTTTGTCCAGCCGAGTGTCCGACACAAGCGGAAACCCATCACTGTGCTTAAGGGACTCCAAACTAAGCTGAGAATTCCATGCATCTCACTTACACATGGAAATCCCAGCGATAGATTGCTGGAATGGAGTGAGCAAAGACTCTTGTACTGTAAGGCCTTTGTAGAAAGACAAAGACAGTGTAGACCTGGTATTGCTATAACAACAACAACTTGGATTTATATAGCGCCCTCCACACAGGGTATTTACTGACAGGAACACTCAATGTCCACACGGCTCACCAGGACATCATGCATCGTCAACTCATCTTTCAGCATCTGGATCTCCTGCTCCAGGTTCTTAACCGTGATCTGTAAAATAATAATAATAATCCTTGCATCTCATACAGCGCCTTATCACGTCTTCGAGATGTCTCAAAGCGCTTCACAGGATATACTGTAAAGTGAATTGACTGTATATTTTGTGGGCGAAACGCGGCAGCCGATTGTGCACAGCAGAGCCCCACAAACAGTCGTGGATTGAGTCATCAAATTAATAATTTTAAGGCATTATTACCCCCGCAAAAATGATCCACCAATCGACTAACAACCGGGTTCCTATTTACTGCTGGTAAACAGAGGCGTGTGGAATAAAGAAACTTGCCTAAGGTTTCGCCCGGCCCAGATCCTCTTGCTTGCGAGGCGCGTGCTCTAACCGCTAAGCTACAGGACTCCACACAAATAATATGTCAGGACTGAGCCAGAGAGCTCACACGCTGCGGGCAGCCAAGCACAGGACAGGCTGGTCACGAAGTCCTGCTACCCCATGGTTTTTCTTCTAATAAATATTTTTTGTTGCAGACGAGTCGAGTGTAACAATGTCTGACACCAGTAACTTCCTCGTCACTCTGTCCATCCATGTTACAGAAGATATCGCACTGAACATGGTGATGGATCATTATCTGCCGTGAAAATTATGGTGCTCACACACTAAATACAGTTAAACACTTGTACTGAATAACAGCAGATAGGAAGAAGCTAGGAATTGGGCGCCTCCTCTCTGTCACAGAGATTTAAAACAAATGGGACAGCCTGAAAATCAGGACGGTAAGAAGTGACCTGATACAGTATTCCTTCACATGGAATTACTGAGGGTGTGACATTCACTGCCCCAGGAGGCCATCCAGACAGCAACGATCGGGGTTAGAATCATAGAACCTTACAGCACAGAAGGCAGCCATTTGGCCCATCGCGCCTGTGCCGTCCCTTTGAAAGAGCCACCAACTAGTCCCACTCCCCCGCTCTTAACCCAGAGCCCCGCACAGTTTTTCTTTTCAAATACCTAATCAATTCCCTTTTGAAAGCTATTAACGAATCTGCTTCCATCAGCCTTTCAGGCAGTGCATTCCAGACCGTAACAACTCTCTGGGTAAAAAAAATTCTCATCTCCGCTTTGGTTCTTTTGTAAATGATCTTAAATCTGTGTCCTCTAGTTACTGACCCTCCCACCAGAGGAACCAGTGTCTCCCTGTCTACTCTATCAAAACCACTATTAAATCCGCCCTGAACTTTCTCTGCTCTAAGGAGAACATTCCCAGACCCTCTGGTCTCTCCACAAGGGATTGTTGACAAGTGCGGTGTGGGATAGCCATGAAGTAAGGGTTGACGGGGAAAGGTGGGGAAATGGAATGACAAGATCTGGTATGATCTAATACAGCCGACTTGAAAGGCTGAATGGTCTCCTCCTTCTCCTGTGAACACAGAGCAGGGAGCCACCCCCAGGGAACCCTGGCAGTTCTAGATCTTGTTCTAGATATAAGGCTTGTGGCCTATAAGACCATTTTGTCTTGAAATTGTGGAAAATCCTTACATTTAATCTTAATTTGGAAGCTGGTTGACCACGATACTTTCACCCACAAGATACACGGTCAATTCACTTTACAATATATTCTGTGAAGTGCTTTGAGGCCTGATAATCGCTTGGGACGCTACCCAGTGTGAAGGGCTCTATATAAATGCAGGTTGTTGTTGTGTCAAATGCAAGGATTATTAGTGTTTTATTAAAAAGACCAGCTTCCAAATTAAGAGCAGATATTTTAGACTCAACATATGTTCACTGTTTGAGGAATGTCCATGTGATTTGTTTGTGGGGAACAGGGAGTAGGTGAGAGGTTCCCAGGTAAACAGAAGCCAGACCCACAGCCTGGGCACTCACCAAAGGGTCTCTGTGTATGTTGGGGGCGGGCTCGATACTCACACACGACATCCTCAGTGCAAAGCGCAGTGTGGCGAGCTGGAGAGAGAGGCAGGGAGCTCAATATAATCAACCTGATGTTACTGTCAGATCTCAACAACAACTTGCATTTACATAGCGCTCCTCGCACAGGATAGCGTCCCAGAGCACTTGACAGTAGTGGAGCACGATGCCGAGCCGGGGGGAGGGAGAGGTGACCATAGACACGGTCAATTAGGAAGGTCTTCAGGCGCAATCTCAAGATGGGGAAGGTAGGGCAAGGCGGAGGATAGAGCAAGAATGTTCCTATGACCCCTTCACACCTGCCCAGCCTCACAGTCAGAGATTTTGTTTGGTCAGTTGTGTGTCTGACACATATTGAAACCCATCACCGTGCTTAAGAGTATCCAAACTAAGCTGAGATTCCCATGCATCCCACCTACACAGAAATCCCAGAGATAGACTGTTGGAATGCAATGCTCTCTCTCTTCCTGGAGGGACACATCTTGCTTACCTAATTCCGGAGAGTATTAGGCATAGGTTGGCAAGAGCCAAGGCTTAAGCGATCAGCTCTCAGTCTGATTGTCAGCCAACCTGGTAGATGGTAGGAACAAAAGAGGAGTTGCTCTGAGGAGCAAAGAGATCTGGGGATTCAGATCCACAAACCTCAACAAGTAGCGGACACAGGTAGGTAAGGCTATAAAAAGGCCAATGGGGATTTGGGATTCATATCCATAGGAATCATAGAATCTTACAGCACAGAAGGAGGCCGTCAGTCCATCGTGCCTGTGCCGTCTCTTTGAAAGAGCCACCAACTAGTCCCACTCCCCCGCTCTTATGTTTCCTTTTTAAGTTCCTATCCAATTCCCTTTTGAAAGCTACTAGCAATTCTGCTTCCACTACCCTTTCAGGCAGAGAGTTCCAGACCGTAACAACTCTGAGTGAAAAATTTGAGTATAAAAATGAGGAGGTGATGTTGAAGTTATACAAAGCTCTCGTTAGACAACATTTGGAGTATTGTGTGCAATTCTGGTCTCCACACTTTAGGAAGGATATAGCAGTAATTGAGAGTACAGAGTAGATTTATGAGGATGATACCAGAGCTGACAGGTTACTGCTATCAGAAGAGACTGGAGAGGTTGGGCCTTTTTTCGCTAGAGAAGAGATGTTTTAGGGGGACCTAATATAGGTGGTTAAAATCATAAAAGGGTTTGATGAATAGTCTGTTCCCACTAGTTGTGGAGTCTGTCACCAGGCGTCATAAGTATAAGATAGCAACTGGGGATCTAAAGAGAATTTAGGAGGAACCACATCACGCAGAGAGAAGTGAGATTGTGGAACTCGCTGCCTGAAGCAGTGGTGGAATCAGAGAGTGTGGATACATTCAAGAGGAAACAAGACCTTCACATGAGGGAGGGAGGGAGATGGGTGAGGACTTGTGTGGAGTATGAACACCAGCGTGGCCTGTTTCCATGCTGTACAGACTAAATCATTGTGATGTCTGTCCATGTCCCCATCCCCTCTCCCTTTTGTTGACTGTTATGTTTGGAGGCAGTAGCTTGAGTGCCGCACTCACACCTGGGACACAGACATGGGGAAGGTGGGGGGGGGGGGGGGTGAGGGGGATTCTCGATGCGGTTCTTACCGTTTCCTCGATCTGCTCAGCGTTACCGTAGACATTGGCTACCAACACCGTGTTGTTGTTCATTCCTGCCGGGAGGTCAGAGGGAACATTACAATCCTTGCATTTGATATAGTGTCTGATCACGTCTTCCAGATGTCTCAAAGCACTTCACAGAATATACTGAATTGACTGTATATTTTGTGGGTGAAACGCGGCAGCCAATTGCACACAGCAGTGTCCCACAAAGTTGTGAATTGCGATTTTGCTTTTTTAGGGGATTATTACCCCGGGAAAAGCAATCCCCTAATCGACTAACAACCGAGTTCCTACTTACTCCTAGATAAGCAGAGGTGCGTGGAGTAAGGAAACTTACCCAATGTCTCGCCCTGCCCGGGAATCGAACCCTATCGTTTGCAAGGCGAGTGCTCTAACCACTACACTACAGGACTCCACAACCCTTTCATACTGCGCTGTCAGTGCCATGTGTATTACCCCACACAAGGCAATTTCGTCACCAATACAGGCATATTGAAGGAATACAGGATCATTCCTGCCAGCTCCGATTTTCATACTTTTCCCCACATCCCTTATTTCCTTGATCTCCTTATCTATCTATCTAAATTTGCAGGTGGGGTAGGAGTGAGGGAATGGGAATAGTTGATAGCTCTTTCAAAGAGTCGGCACAGACACAATGGGCTGAATGGCTTCTGTGCTGTAAGATTCTATGATCTCCTTTTAAACCTTCTGTGGCTGTAAGCTCTGCCCTCTAACCTGGTACACTTGCCATCTGGCTCACCGTCGCCGTTACCGGGACCAAACTGGGACTGCAATGTAGGCCACGCTGCGTTCTTTGGACAGCTGGAAAATTCCATCTACAGAAACAACGGGTGGCTTTCTGCCTGCGTCTGAGACATCTCAAAGATGTGATAAGGCGCTGTATCGAATGCATAAAGCGCTTCACAGAATATACTGTAAAATGAATTGACTGTATATTTTGTGGGTGAAGCCAATTGCACACAGCAGCGTCCCACAAACAGTTGTGGAATCAGTGACCATATTATTATTACTATTTTTTAAAGGGATTATTATACCCGCAAAAGCGATCCGCCAATTGACTAACAACTGGGTTCTTACTTACTGCAAGGTAAATAGGGGCGGTTGCTAGAAGGTGTGGTTGAAGCAAACAGCAGCATTGCAGTTAAGAGAAAACACGGTGTAGTGGAGGAACCAAGGGATTTGGGTGTCCACATACACAAACCACTAAAAGCTGGTAGTCCAAAAAGTTATCAATAAGGCTAATGGGATGATGGCTTTTATGGCTCAAAGGGGCTGGAATATAAAAGAGAGGAAATAAAGCTTCAACTATATAGAGTCTTGGTCAGATCCCATCTGGAGACTGTGTTCAGTTTTGGGCTCTGCACCTCAGGAAGGATATATTGGCTCTGAGGGGGTGCAGCGCAGAGAATGATACCAGGGCTAAAAGGGTTAAATTATGAGGACCAGTTGCATAAACGTGGTCTCTATTCCCTTGAGTTTGGAAGGTTGAGGCTGATCTGATTGAGGTGTTTAAAATAATAAAGGGATTCGATAGCGTAGCTACAGAGAAACTATTTCCTCTGGAGGGGGAATCCAGAACAAGGGACGTCATCTTAAAATTAGAGCCGGGCCATTTAGGAGTGAAATCAGGGGCAGTTTTTCACCCAAAGGTTAGTGGGAATCTGGAACTCTCGCCCAAAAGGCTGTGGATTATGTCTGGATCCATTCACATTTTCAAGACTGAGGTGGAGAGATGTTTGTTTAGGTCAGGGATATGGGGCAAAGGCAGGTAATTGGAGTTAAGGTACAGATCATGATCTAATAGAATGGCGGAACAGGCTTGAGGGTCTGAATGGCCTCCTCCTGTTCCTATGTATACAGGAAGAAGGCAAAGGTGAGAAGGGGAATAGGAGGAGTGGGGTCTCTTGTGGAGTATGAACACCAGCAGGGACTGGTTGGGTTGAATTACCTGCTGTGTGTTGTGTAACTGTATTTTAACTCTATGCGTCTCTTTCTCACTCATCTGTCTCTTGCTCATCTTGTCTATGTGACTTACCAATGGAATCCTTCAGCACGTGTGTGAGCTTACACTGCCTGAAGGGCACGTGCTCCCTCCTGGGGTCAGCTAGAGCTAAGATGGTCTGCTCCAGGAAGGACAGCGACTTATTGATGTACAGTGCCTCGCGCATCATCTGTCCTTCCGACTGAAGACACACAGCAAGCAGGGGACACACAGCAAGCAGGGGACACACAGCAAGCAGGGGACACACAGCAAGCAGGGGACGCACAGCAAGCAGGGGACACACAGCAAGCAGGGGACACACAGCAAGCAGGGGACACACAGCAAGCAGGGGACACACAGCAAGCAGGGGACGCACAGCAAGCAGGGGACAACATTAGAGACAGCACACATCAGGGCATTGCTTCATTTCCTCCACATCAATAATAATAATTCTTGCGTTTGATAAAGTGCCTTATTACATAGAATAATACGGCGCAGAGGGAGGCCATTCAGCCCATCGTGTCTGTGCCGGCTCTTTGGAAGAGCCACGCAATCAGTCCCACTTCCACACTCTTTCTCCCCATATCCTTGCACATGTTTCCTTTTCAAGTACCTATCTAATTCCCTTTTGAAAGCTGAATCTGCTTCCACCACTCTTTCAGGCAGTGCATTCCAGACCGTAACAACTCTCTGGGTAAACAAAAACCTCCCCTCAAGGTTCTTTTGCCAATTATCTGGTACCCACCCGCCAGTGGGAACAGTTTCTCCCTATTTACTCTATCAAAACCCCTCATAATTTTGAACACCTTCATTAAATCTCCCCTTAACCTTCTCTGCTCTAATGAGAACAATCCCGGCTTCTCCAGTCTCTCCACATCACTAAAGTCCCTCATCCCTGGTAACATTCTGGTAAACCTCCTCTGCTCCCTCTCCAAGGCCTTGATATCCTTCCCAAAGTGTGGAGCCCAGAATTGGACACAATACTCCAGCTCAGGCCTAACCAGTGACTTATAAAGGGATAGGAGGTGGAGAACAGAGCCAGAGGTGAGGAGACACTGAGAGTGATGAGGGCGGCCTCCAGACTTACCCCTGTCTTATGCAATCGCTCCGACCCCGCCAGGTCCACCATGTTCAGCTTCGAGGTTAGGTACTTGTCATCTGAGGAATTCCTCTTCCGAGACTGTGACGAGGAGGAGAATGCAAGGAGGTTAGTGTCTGGAGTGGAGGGCGCTATATAAATCCAAGTTGTTGTTGTTGTTGTTGTTGTAGTCACTGGGATAATAATAATAATCCTCGCATTTGATACAGCGCCTCATCACGTCTTCGAGACTTCTCAAAGTGCTTCACAGAATATACTGTCAAGTGTAGTGACTGTATATTGTGTGCGCGAGACGCGACAGCCAATTGCCCACAGCAGTCGTGGATTGAGTGACCAAATTTTTTTAAAGAGATTATTATATGTGTGTGTGGGGGGGGGCTGGGTGTACAGATGTGGGGGGGGCTGGGTGTACAGATGTGGGTGGGGGGGGCTGGGTGTACAGATGTGGGTGGGGGGGCTGGGTGTACAGATGTGGGGGGGGGGGCTGGGTGTACAGATGTGGGTGGGGGGGGGCTGGGTGTACAGTTGTGCTGTGAGTGGCTGTGGTGAGAGACGTGCTGGGCTGACCTCGATGTACAGGGTAAAGATGCAGTGGGATCGGGAGGAATTCTTGTTCAGTGTGTGGCAGCCGATGACTCGGTTGGTTTCACCCTGTGATCAGAGAGAAGGGAAACTTACTGAGCAGCGTCAGAGATACAGACAGACGGGCGCACAACATTTTACGATAATAATAATAATAATAATAATAATCCTGGCATTTGATATCGCCCCTTTTCCCGTTTTCCAGACGTCTCAAAGCCCTTCACAGAATATACTGTAAAGTGAATTGACTGTGCATTTTGTGGGCGAAACGCGGCAGCCGATTGCGCACAGCAGCGTCCCACAAACAGTAGCAGAATCAGTGACCAAATTATTATTATTATTAATATTATTATTATTACTATTACCAGATTTTGAGGTGGGTGCAATACCTCACCCTTCTACTAGATGGAGATCGTGTGCTTTGATACATCACCGATAGACCACGGCCACCCGGTTGCACTGGACCAGAGAGCTCAAGCTCTGGAGAACATTGTTGCGTACCAGTTTATTGGACAAACCGCTACCAAGTTGTCCTGCCAAGAGTGAACAGACAAGTCAAGTCGGAGGCCGAAATCTGACCGTACCTTCAGCAAAGCAGCCCCCCCCCCCCCCCCAGCAACGTATTGGAGTCAAAACTCAAAATACTGCAGATGCTGGAAATCTGAAACAAAAACAGACGTCGCTGGGAACACTCAGCAGGTCAGGCAGCATCCGTGGGGAAAGGAAAGTCAGTCAACGTTTCGGGTCCGCTTTCCCTTCTCCATAGATCTACTCCAACATCATCTTGGAGGCTAAACACAATCCTAAAATCCTTTTTTGCCCACCACCCACTCCGTGCCCGCCCCCCTCAGGCCGCCTCAATCTTCATAACAAATGCCAAGTGCGAGGAGGTCATGGACTTCTTTTCATCTAAAATTCACAACATCCGCCAGGCAGCCTCATCCTCCTGACTCTTGTCACCCACCACCATGCCCTCTCTGCCCCCCTCACCCTCCCCATCATCTGCTCCTACCACCACCCCCATCCTACATTCCTTCCTCCCCATCTCTCCCTCCTCTCTCTCACCCACCATCACCTCCATGAAACCCACCACCTTCTGCCTCGACCCCTTCCCCACCAAGTTGCTCGTCACCCAGCTCCCCTTCCTCTGCCCACTACTGGCTGACGTCATCAACCAGTCCCTCTCCTCCGGATCAGTCACTGCCCCCCTCAAAACTGCTGTCATCATCCCCCTCCTCAAAAATCCCTCCCTAGATCCCCAAACTCCAGCCATTACCGCCCTATTTCCTGCCCTTCCTCTCAAAAGTCCTAGAACGGGTTGTGGCCAACCAACTCCCCGCACACCTCTCCTCCCACTCCCTCTTCAAACCCCTCCAGTCCGGTTTCCGCCCACAGTACAGAGACTGCACTTGTGAAAGTCACAAATGACATCCTCTCTATCTGTGACCAGGGCTCCCTCTGCCTCCTTGTCCTCCTGGACCTCTCCACCGCGTTCGACACAGTCGATCACGCCATCCTCCTCCACCGCCTTTCCTCCGTCATCCACCTCAGTGGGACCGCACTGGTTCGAGTCCTACCTCACAAACCGCCAGCAGTACATCTGCACAAACGGCTTCTCCTCCCGCTCTCACCTGGTGACCTGCGGGTACCCCAAGGATCCATCCTTGGCCCCCTCCTCTTTCTGATCTACATGCTCCCTCTTGGGGATGTCATCCGCAGACATGGGGTACATTTCCACATGTATGCAGACGACACCCAACTCTACCACCTCTCTTTGTGCCCCCCAGTCCCCTGATGTTGTCAGCTGCCTGTCAGACCTCAGGGGCTGGATGAGCGCAAATTTCCTTCAGCTGAACGTTGACAAGACAGAAGCCATACTCTTTGGCTCTCGTTAACGTCTAAAATCTCACAGCTCTCACCTCCTCCACCTACCCGACCTCCCCCTAAAACTCTCCGAACCCGTACGCAACCTAGGTGTCAGGTTCGACCCCCAATTATCCTTCCTCCCCCACATCCAGTCCCTCACCAGCACCGCTTTCTTCTACCTCTGACGCATCGCCCGTCTCCACCAATACCTCTCCCCAAAAGCCGCTGAAACCCTGGTCCGTGCCTTTGTCTCCTCTCGGCTGGACTACTCTCACGCCCTTCTCGCCGGTCTCCCATCCACTACTATCCATAAAATCCAAATCATTCAAAACTCTGCCGCCCCCATTCTCACCCGCACCAAACTTCACTCCCCGATCACCCCATTCCTTGCCCTCCCCCCCCACCCCCAAACTCTGCTCCCCGATCACCCCATTCCTTGCCAGACTGCACTGGCTGCCTGTCCCAGAGAGGATCGACTTCAAGATCCTCTCCCTTGTATTCAAGTCCCTGCACTCCTCTGAACCCCCCTACTTCTGTGACCTCCTCTCTCCTCAAAACAGTACCCATTACCTTCTTTCCTCCGGGTCTGGCCTCCTCCTCGTCCCCCGAGTCCTCCGCTCCACCCTCGGCGACCGTGCCGTCAGCCACTATGCCCCGAGGCTCTGGAACTCCCTTCCTCACTCCCTTTGTCTCGCTCCCTCTCTTCCTATTTTCAGGTCTCGGCTGAAGACCTTTCTCTTCGACCGTGCCTTTGGTCACCTTCCTCCCCCTCCCCCTGGCTCCCCCCCCTCCCCATCCCCCTGGCTCTCCCCCTCCCCCGGTTCGGCCCTGGGATCCGTTACTGTGGAGCACTCTGAGACACCATCTGGCGTGGAGGGCGCTATATAAATCTAAGTTGTTGTTGCTGTTGTAGATGCTGCCTGACCTGCTGAGTGTTCTCAGCGACTTCTGTTTTTGTTTCAGTGTATTGGAGTTTCAGCCTTCACTGTTAGGATGATAGGAACATAGGATTATGAGGAGGCCATTCAGCCCCTCGAGCCTATTCTGCCATTCTATAAGGTCGTGGCTGATCTGTACCTCAATTCCAATTACCGCCCTTGCCCCATTTCCCTTGATACCCTGACCTAAGAAACATCTATCCACCTCAGTCTTGAAAATAGCTCAAGAGTCCCGACGTGGAGCTTGAACCCACAATCTTCAGACTGAGAGGTGAGAGAAAATGATAATAATAATCCTTACATTTGATATAGCGCCGTATCACGTCTTCAGGACGTCTCAAAGCGCTTAACAGTGAATTGACTATATTTTGTGGGAGAAATGCGGCAGCCAAATGCGCACAGCAGTGTCCCACAAACAGTCGTGGATTGAGTGACCAAATTATTATTATTGGCTTTTTTGAAGGGATTATTACCTCCAGAAAAGCGATCCGCCAATCGGCTAACAGTCAGGTTCCTACTTACTGCTGGTGAACAGAGGTGTGCGCGTGTGGAGTAAGGAAACTTACTACAGGACTCCAATGACACAAAAAAGACACAAATATAAGGAGCATCTCTAACAGTGAAGAAGATTGTAAGCAACTTCGGGAAAACAGAGACAGATTGATTGATTGGACAGAAATGGCAAATGAAATTTAATGCAGAAACGCATGAGGTCCCTTTTGGGCGGGAGAATAAGGAGAAGTATGTGCTAAATGATAACATCTAAGAGTAGAAGAGAGCGTACGTAACATTGTAAATGTGGGAGGACAGGGGGACAAAGCTGTGAAGAAAATAAATGGGAAGTTTATAAATGGGGACATTGAATATCAAGGCCAAGAGGTGATTGCTGAACCTGTATAAACCATTACATCAGCCCCAGTGACAGCTGGTTACAGCATGGATACCCACTTTATGAAGCGAGAGAGGGAGGAGATTGACGAGCAGAAAACCAGGGACGATTGGAGACGTTTTTTTAACCAGAGGGTTGTTATGGTCGGGAATGCACTCCCTGAAAGGGGGTGGAAACAGATTCAATAGTAGCTTTCAAAGGGGAAGTAGATAAGTACTTAAAAAGGAAAAATGTGCAGGGCTACAGGGTAAGAGCGGGGGAGTGGGACTAGTTGGTGGCTCTTTCAAGGAGCTGGCACAGGCTCGATGGGCCGAATGGCCTCTTCTGTGCTGTAAGATTCTATGATTGGTTTGACCTGTGAGCAGAGCCTGGAGGAACTGGAGCGACTGTCAATGGAAACAGAGGCTGAACAGAAAGCTGATTGAGATGTGTATTTGGTGAAAGGAGATAGGCAGCAATGATTGCCACCCGGTCCTGAGTCAGGGAGAGTTGTTAGGATGTGGGGGTCGAGGCAGAATCCATGTTAATTTTTGACAGTTTCCTCACCTCAAACAAGAAGTTCAAAGCCTCCTCCTCATTGTTGGTCAGATGAATGGATAGGCCCTTGACGTGAACGCCTTGTGCATCATCCACCACAGCTAGCTGGGAGTCGCTGGCCGGGGTATCAGGCAACGTGAACAGCAGGTCAAAGAGGTTCTCGTTGTAGATCTCCAGGTAGGACACACGCACGATGAACATGTAGTCTATTCGCTCTTCCACCTCCTTAAACACCTGCAGTATCAGCAGAGAACGCAGTTACCAGAGCACACACACTTGGTACAGCACATTCTGTCTCTCACACAGAGAAAGAAACACACAGAGAATGAGTGTTATGTAGTGCTGCTATCAGGACTGTGTAGTGTATAAACATTGAAGCCAGTGTTAGCCCGTGGCTGAATACCTGCTGAATGGCTCTGGGGATGATCCCTCGATATTGGAAGTTCTCAGTGGTTCCTGTCATGGTGTAAGTTTTCCCAGCTCCTGTCTGCCCATAACACATTATTGTACCTGCAGGAAAGACCATACAATGCTGACAGCCACTTATACATGTGTTCCAAGCTCCTCAAGAGGTGAAACTTACACGTTCCTTCCCCTTGTCCTCCCCCAAATAAAGGACGTTTTGGTTTTACTGAAGGCCCAGTAGGCAAAAGCCACTGAGGCTAAAATTAGCCCTAGCAGAGTCTTAGGCCATCTTGAATGATCATTTTGTCTTAAAATTTACGACTGTGCAAAATTGTGAAAAGACTTTCAAAATCCACTCTTCATTTGGCGACGGGTTGTTTTTAAGAACTGCAGAAAGTTGGCTTCTAAACAGAAATGTCTCCACAATTCTGTGAGTTCCGAAATGCTACGCCAAAATGGTTTGACAGGCTAAGAATTGGGCCTCAGTGCACACAGAGGCTAATCTGCATCACAATGTTTTACACACACAGTGACTAGCCGGACGGCCGGGGTGTTAGAATTTTGGGGGTAAATTTATAGTGACAGATTTGTAAGATGTTACAAAGCCCCATCGTGCCTGTGCTGGCTCTCTGACAACAACAACAAATAACATTTACGCAGCGCCTTTCACATTGGAAAAACGTTGCAGAACACCTGGATAGTCAGGGATTTGGATCCGAGATGGGAGTTGGGATCAGGAGGGGTGGAGGGCAGGGTGGGTGGAGGGCAGGGCGGGTGGAGGGCAGGGCGAGTGGAGGGCAGGGCGAGTGGAGGGCAGGGAGGGTGGAGGGCAGGGAGGGTGGAGGGCAGGGAGGGTGGAGGGCAGGGCAAGTGGAGGGCAGGGAGGGTGACCAAATGTGCGATCGAAGAGGAGGGTCTTGATATGGGTCTTGAAGGAGGCATGGGAGAAAACAAGGCAAAGGGACTGTGGGGTCAGAGAGGCTGAAGGCCCGACCGCGAGGAGGGAGCGGACAGGTTGATATGGAACCTGACACAGCTCAATTTGAATCAAAAGCCAGGAAGGCTTGCAGGTAACGGGTTAGGCGGTCGGCAGTCGGTTGGTGCTGGAGGCTGGGGTGTGAGCAGAGCTGAGGGATGTACCGTTGTAACCGTTGAGTGCTTGCTGCACCACGTTCTTGGCCACACTGTTGTACATGTCCTCCTGCGAGGAGTGGTGTATGAACTCATCGACTTTGAAGGACCAATCGGTTTGCTGGTTGTTCACCACAAGCCGACTCAGGTCACGCTTCACATGAATGTTTATTGTCTGTAACACACAAGACATCAGCTTAAACACCCCTCACAGTGACACTTGCATACAGACGCGCACACGGAAACAGAGACACACATATATGGAGAAGACAGAAGCCATCCTCCTTGGCTCCCACCATTTCATCTCTTCTGGCTCTGACTTTCCCAGCTTTTCTCTCAAACTTACTAAACCTGCTGCACCCTTAGCAAACGCTTCAACATTCATGATAATAATAATCCTTGCATGTGATGCAGCGCCTTGTCACATCTTCGAGACGTCTCAAAGCGCTTCACAGGATACACTGTAAAGTGAATTGACTGTGCATTTTGTGGGCAAAATGTGGCAGCCAATTGCGCACAGCAGCGTCCCACACACAGGCGTGGAGTGAAGGGAGGGAGGGACTGCGTTCCCCTTCCTAAGGAAACTGTTTCGTCCTGCCCAGGAATTGAACCCAGATCCTCTCGCTTGCGAGGCGAGTGCTCTAACCACTACGTTATACGACAGAAAACACAAACACTACGTGGAGAAGACAGAAGCCATCCTCTTTAGCTTTGACCGTTTTAGCTCTTCTGGCCTCTGACTTTCGCAGCCTTTCTGTAACTGAGTGGTTAGAGAGCCACCTCACAAGCGAGGGAATCTGGGTTTGATTCCCAAGAGGCCGACATGTTGGGCAAGTTTCCATATTCTACATGTTTACCGAGCAGTGAGTCGGAAGCCGGTTGTTGGATCGCCCACAAATATGCAGTCAATTGACTTTACAATATATTCTGCGGAGACATGGTAAGGAGCTATATCAAATGCAAAAATTATTATTATTAAACCCAGATCATTACTTGAGGATATTTCATGACATTAGAACAAGAGGACACAGGTTTAGAATGTAAAGGGCAGTTTCAGGACAGACACAAGGGCGACAGTAAGGAAATGGCAGGCTCGTTGGATAAATACTTTGCTTCCGTTTTCACAGTAGAGGAAGAGGACAAAATAGCAGCGGTTACAAGGGAACCTAAAAATAAGGCAAAGTGAAATGCTAAAATGGATTTAATATAAATTTAAAAAATGGTAATGGAGAAAAAGATAAAGATAAGAGAAATGATCACTTAATCCATGACCGTTTGTGGGACACTGCTGTTCATAACTGGCTGCCGCATCTCACCCACAAAATATACAGTCAATTCACTTTACAGTATATTCTGTGAAGCGCTTTAAGACGTCTCAAAGACGTGATAAGAATCTGTATCAAATACAAGGATTATTAATACCTCTTTCACACTTACTGAAGCAGTGTGCAACCGCTTCGACACTCAGCTTTCCTTTCTCCCTCACGTCCGGTCCCTGCCTTCCCCTCCGTCACACTGTCCCAGTCTGCCCCTGTCTCACACCCAAACTGCCAAAGCACTGATTTACCCCTTCATTAACTCGAGCAACACGTTTGTAAAGCACTCCTCATGGGTTTCCCCAGTTCCATCATTATTAAGCTCCAACTCATCTAAGTTTCCGCCTTTAACTTCACCCTCCACCTTACCCCCTCCTTCCTCACCAGGTCGCGCCTGAAGACCTTTTTCTTCCACCTTGGCTAAGGTCACCTCCCCCTCCTGGCTTGGAGTCATGCTCCACCACTGTCAAGCGCTCTGGGACTCTATCCAGTTTAAATACGTGTTGTTTTTTTTATTGTCCTGGTCCTCATCTATAAATGGCTCCATACCCATGCCTTTCATCTCTCTCTCCGATCTTCTCAAGCTTGTTCACCCCTCTGCTCGGCTAACCCTGGTTTGTTGTGTGCCTCTCCATGTCACCATCGTGGCCACATGTAGACCCTGGACCCCTGGACTGCCTCCTCCCAGCCCTCCCGCTCATCCCCTCTTTCTCTACTCGTCTATAAATCTGGTCTCAAATCCTACCTCTTCAACCCAGCCCGTTGTCACCTCTCCCTTCCTCGGCTCGGTTTCTTTGTGAAGCACTCTGAAGCATTATGTACGTGAAGGGTGCCATACAAATTGTTGTTGTTGTCTACACAGCCACCCATGTATATTGTCAGAATTAACATTTTGCTAATCCGGGTGTCTGAGAAATGCAGAAACCACCGTTTCCAAACCAGCCTGAGTGATCCACATACACCTATCACATATACTATACAGACATCTCCCTGTGTCTGGAATGGAATCCATATTCTCTTACCTAATTCCGGAGAGTATTAGGCTCAGGTTGGCGAGAGCCAAGGCTTGGGAAGCCCATAAGCCCATTGAGCTGCTGGAGTTAACCAGTTGAAAACACACAGCTTGGCCATTAAAGTGCTGTCTGGCCAGCTTTCCCGCTGCTTGTCCAGCGAGGACCAGGTTAGTTAGGGCTTTGGCTGTGGGGTTACCAGGAGCTGAGGGGGAGGATTCCCGGCCCCCAGTGACTGGTTCGCCCTTCCAGGTCCTGCTGATGAGCCGGGCCGGGCTGTGCTGCCATCAGCAGTGAGTGCCCTGGGACACTGCGGCCCCTCCTGGTCAGGAACCGGACTGGAGACCGGCACAGAGGGTCGATTCTGACATTCTGAGGC